TAAAGTGTTACAGTTTCTTATTTGTAGAAGGTTTAAGAGGAAAGACCACAACCTAATGAACTAATTCATCACAAAACCTGAAAACTCTGACTTCACTTTTTTGAAAAATGAAATGGTCTTTCCTTTTACTCCCGATCAACAATCAAATATCTTTTCTTGAATTATGAATAACATGAATGGATTGAAATATTTAATTAAATTATCTCAAAATAAACCTTCATTTTGGTGCATATTGAAATTAGCCTGAATTCTTCATAACCTGTGAATAGTAGGTGACCCAATGGGTCACGGGTGGTCTAGTTTAATTTTTCTACCCTCAAGGTAAATGCTTTAAATTTTTAAATGATTAAAAATGATTATGATTCAAAAATAGAATGTTCTGGGTTCAATAATTTTATTATGGATAACTTATATAATTAATCAGTCATAGCTATTTCTTTTTCAAATCAGCTAACATAAAATTAACCATTTAACCTTAATATAAGCTTTAGAAACTTGATTTAATAGCATTTAATTGCAAACAGAGTAGAGAACACATTTAATTGTAAGTCAGATTTAAAGAATAAATTCTTTCAGTGAGAAACATCATTTATAATATAAAAGATTGGCCATTGCTAGAAATATAACCATCAGCTAAAAACAGATTTTATTGAAGATTGTTATAGGTAACTTTTTAAAGTTAGAGGAAAATCCCTTAAACGTTGTATCAACCTTTTTAAGAGATATCAAGGCAGCTAAGGATATTTTGTACTATATTAAATTTTTAATAATAAATATATACATTACAACCAAAAATGTGCAATCATTATGTACTTCTCAATGAAGTGGATTGTTTCTCATTCTCTACTATGAATGCCAACAAGAGTGTTTTTTCGTTTTTTTTGGGGGGGGGGGGGTATATCTACTCAATATATAAAGAAGGCAGGGTTGAAATTATTAATATTTTATCAGACTAAGCAAAACTCCTGATTCAAAAGTTAAAAGAGGGATGGAAAAGACATTAAAATTTTAGATAACAATGTGATGTAACATATGGCATGATAATTACAAATTAATCCTTTTCTTTTCAGAAATTTAAGTGTTTGATACCTTATGATCATTGTACATTTTAAATAAAATGTATTTTATTATTGATCCTAGACTTTTGTGTATATTTTGGTAATGATGATGAAACATTTTTGTTCTCCAGGACGATCTTATGCTGTCACTTCTCATAGAGTATTGATGCAGTGCCTAGAGTCATTAGTACAGAAGATCCAGAGTGGGGTAGTCATCAACTTTGAAAAAATTGGCCCTGATCCTCCTCCCGTTATTAATGAAGTGTATTCAGGTAGCCACATTTATTATTGATGCTATTAATATTAAGGAAAAAAATTGTCAATTTCACTAAATTTCAACTTTTATTAATCTATTATTAATAACATAACATAATGTTTTGGGACAATATGAGACCTATATTTTGTTTGCTTACGAAGTGCCAGTATCATCTTCTAGGACTATTAATGACTTTTCAGTGAAAAACATATTTTTGATTAAATATATGATGGCATTAGTAGTTATGTTTCATCTTTATTCAGAATTTTGAAGACTTTTTCCAATAGTTGCCCATTTAATTGAAATAAATGGAAAGCTTCAGTTGTTGTATGTTTTCTAACTGACTGGGTGTGGCCAAGTTGGTAGAAAGCCACTTCTGTGAATCCAAAGATTTACGGTGTGCGTCCTGTTGCTGCAAAAATGCACTCAACATTTTGGGACTGTGCGTACGTTATAAAAATGAAGGCCAAATCCCAATATACAGTCAAATAGCAAGAGTTGGAAGTGAGTGCTGTTAGCCACCCTGTTTTCTTTTAAGTCTGTCAGTTCAAAATTAAGAATCATTCTGTGTAGATAGCCCTTGTGCAGCTTTACACAAAAATTATAAAATAAACAAGATTTTCTAACTGTTAGTGTATTGTCGGGAAAGCCATCATGTATGAAATTTTATGACAGAATTCTGAAAAATTATATATTGTGTAATACCTACTTGATGATGAATTTTGTAATGTTTCTTACGTTACACAATTATGTTTTGCACTGATCATAAGAATTCATCCATATTTTTTATGGACCACTATCTTAGTCTTTCTCAAAATGCCTGCCCTCCAGTGGCATGTCTGCAGACTTCTACTGCTAGAAACTGGGTTTCGATACCTGTGGTGGGCAAAGCACAGATAGCCTCTTGTTTACCTTTGTGCTTAATAACAAACAACAACTCAAAATGCCAATATTATGTGCCATTATCCTTTTATCATAGAATAAAACTCAAAAGAAATTTTAAAATCATTTTGCTTGATAAACTGTAACCAATACAGGGTTTTACTCAGACAAAAAAAACATTACAATCCAGCTAAATGGCATTGTCATCACATGACCAACACCTGAAAAACACTCACCAAAAGTATGCATCTAGGCTTGGTTTTCTTTGCTAACCATGATATACATTCACTGTTGTGGCTGCAGTCTCGCTAAATTATGGCAAGGAAGAAAGTGGTGTTATAAAAATTGCAACTGCAAATTTCTGAAGTAAATGCTGAATGCTTTTCATACGTTTTGCTTCATTGTCCATATACGGAATATTGGTAATATCAATACGATGGGAGTGATTGAGAAGCTGTTTTGTAGTTGAGCCAAATGTTACAGATATAATAGCATTATCTGAACTTAAATAACATCACTTTAACTGAATTTAACACAGACTAAAATTCTCCATCTCAAAATATTTTACTTTCACAAACAGTATCTTATTTAATTGATGCACAATGATCTCATAAATTTAAATTTGCACCACTATGAAAATTTCATAGTTAAACCTATTAAACAGACCTCCCATATAAAACATCACTCATCTTTACGTATGTATTATTAATAATTTGTCAAAAGCTATGTCAATTATTTTTGCTTTCTAGTAAGCAGTGCAGAAAATCAATCAATAATTTCTGTACTTTTTTCCTTGAAAAGCCATTGAACCAATGAAAAATGACAAAATTTACTTTGTTTAAAAGAAAATGTTAAATATGAAATCTTCCATTTGTATGTGGTTCCACTGGACACTCTGTAGTAATAATGAATAGTAACATGTATATTACAGTTCTTGACAGCCTGTTAACCAACACTGAAATGTTCTTGTTAGTGCTTAATTTTGTTGTCTGATGAATGTAAGTGCAAGTACAGCTGTATAGCAGTACGAGTGCATGTATATTACTTAATATTTTTAAGGAGAAATTCTACACACTTTTGTTGCAAGGATTCAAAACATGTAATTTTATTTTGTATGTATGGATAGTTGTAATTATCATGAGTTGCTCTACCTGCTCTTGAACATTGCAAAGGCTGTTTGCAAGCATTAATAATGCAAACCCTAATATGTGTATACAATATTTATTTTACTCTATTTTGCATGTAAAAGGTATGTATGTCTTTCTTTTAATACGTTGTTTACGTGTTAAAAAAAAAAGATGACATTACCACATTATTCAATTTGGCCTGAGGGGTGAAGTAAGAAGCTTGTGTATGTTCATGATGACCTTGAATTACAAAACTTGTGAGTTCTTGTAAGCAGAAAATTAACTGCTAAACAATACTTCAGTAAAATAAAAACACTTAGGAAGACACATCAAATTAATTTGTTAACTTTCCATGGCATATAAATAGAAAACATTATTAAATTAAAAGACATAAGCCCTACATATCTTCAAGTTGCCTCAAAATATAGTAAAAAAATTTACAACTTTACACTCTAGTGTAACTACTCAAGGAACAATGACGCTCTACAGCAAATAAATTATGAGAAAGAAAATAATCTGTTTTTCAAACAATATAATTACAATTTTATTAGCTTCTGAAACTTGAAATTTCTAAAACAAAACATGTGGATTGTTGAATTTTAAAGTTCTTTATATCACCTTAAGCAAATTGCTGGTTTTCAACTAGTTGAGCTAAACATAAGCTTCAAATAAATGTGACATTTATAGAATTGTCTACTGATAAGTTGTACCTGTGCAAGTGGGAAATTTATTGTGCTAGGTAGGGCTAGAAGTTTTTTTAATTACTTTATCCAAAACAAATGTTAATATAACTCACATCAAGAGAATGTGAAATCTCAACATTTCAGTTATGATTTTATTTTGTAGGTAATTTGAGGTGGTAGATCATACAGAACTTTTCAAAACTTAGTGGTGTCATTTTGCCCCTGGAAAAACTGAAGATACTGGGTTGGAAAGGATTAATATTTCAATCTACCTAAATTTATCAGTAATTCAATGTTAAAGTACTGTACATACCTCTTGAGCTGAGATGAATATACATGATATTTTCAAAAGTTTGAGCACATTTTAAAACATAATAACTTTTAAATGAAAAAACAAAGAAATGTTGTTCTATGGGCCCTCAAATTTTATACCACTCCACATGACCTTCTGCACGTGTTTTCACCACGTATCAACAAGCATACATTTTGGAGTTGTGTTTTTTTAATATGATCTTTGAGATTGGCATACGTAGCTGGATTTTGGGTATAAACTAGACTTGATATGGTATTATTAAGTGCATCGTGAAAACAAATTGTAAAATGGGATGATACTCACCTTGCAAAAAAGTAACACTTTCAGCTTCCACTTGTTTGAAGAAAATAAGATCTCCATCATGCTCAGATATTAGTCTGGTGCAGGGGTTTCTAAAGCATTTTTCTCTGGAGGTTCCAGGACTTTCAGCTAAATAAAACTGAGGGTCCCACAACTTTGAGACTCCATATAAAAAATTAATCGTACCATTGAAATACAAAGTCTTAATGTTATAATATTTTCATTAGATACAATATTGAGCTAGTTGATGTTTTAAAATTCAAGGAAAGGTACTTAAAACAAAATACACAGTGTGTCATGTGTCACACATTAATTAAGTGTATCAAGATTCTAAGGCTTTTGTTTTCACTATTAGAACTGGATGATGAGTGGATTTTACAAATCAATTAATCATTGGGCTCATCAATTGATTATTCTCACATAAAACTAAAATAGTTGTAATCATTGGAAACACAAATTTCAGTTTGTTGATAATTTTTGTGAGTAGTAAATCTAAACTTGTTAAGCTGAACAACCTCTTTGACTACAAATCTAGTGCATTGCACCCAGTACGTAACCACCAAAGTAACCATGGGAGTAGTCAAACAACAACTTTTGATAACGTATGCTTATCTTTACAAAATTTCACAGGTTATCAATAAATCTTACAAGACATCCATACAAAAAATATTGGATTTTTAATTAAATATTATATTAAGATTTTTTTAATTAAAAATTTGCTCATGAATTTTTTTTTCTGAATATTGATATCCAACATGCAAAGTAATTTTGATTTTAAGATTAAAAATACTTCATCTGAAAATTGTCAAATTTCACTTGAGTAATCTCTTATCACACATTTCTTTAGAAAAACCTTATATTTTATCTGTTATTTTCTCTACCTCGACTCTATTAATTTGACTGACATCTTAAACACCATAAAAAATTAGGAAATAGATTTAAATTACCCTTTTTCCATTCAAGAATGACTGCATATTGTAATGGGAAACCACAAATGTTTATTCTAAATACCTTAAATCTCATAACATTGAACCAATGAAAAATGACAAAATTTGCTTTGTTTAAAAGAAAATGACCTTTGAACCATGTCTGACTAATAATACTGCCACACAAGTTGTAATTCACGTGGTGCATGTGGAGGTCACGTTACCGTATTGAATAGCATAAAACTACCTTTTACAAAGTACATATGTCTTACTCTTCTTAGCCTTAGTGCTAGCACACCAGTATTTTGTAAAATACAGTCACATTTCCAATACGGTACTTCTCACAAGATTAGCTATTCTCGTTTTTTGCTGCCCTCTATATGCAAACTTTTTATTACATATGCCACAAGACTTCCACATATCCCTATTGGAATCAAATGGTTCCAACATGTCTCTTATGCAAATCACCATGCCTCACCTATCCACCAATAGAAGCACAGTACACTCACGTGATGCATGTGACTCCCTCTATGTGCCTCTACTGAATTATCACTTCTCGTTTGGCAGCGCTTGCACTCATACGTGTTTCATCTTTCATCATGTTTGAGATTGTATTTTCTCAAAGTGGTTTAATTTGAAATACTCAGTTTTTTTGTTTACATTATTTCAATTCACTTACCCTTATTCCAGTTGCATTTCTTATTTATTTCAAATGCTTTTGTTGACTACATCACTATGAATTCCGAATTTGATTACACCACTTTGAGGTGTCACACAATCGACAG